TGGGATGGCTGGGGGGAAATTGTTCAAATCTCTTTAGAAACAATTTTAATAGAACTTTTATTTCCATACTATCTATCTTGGTGGGGTAGACTTCTATAACCCCTAAGATGTAATGTTTTCAGTTTTCAGCAGTGTCTCATTTGTTATTAAATAAAGCATTTTAACATGTATTATCTTTAAGCATTTAAAAAATGCCTTCGTTCTGTCAAGGCTCCGTGTGATATTTATTTTCAGCCTGTGCAGCAAAGCCTGGCCTTGGGAGGACGTGGGTGGGAGGAGGCACACCAGCAGCAGAAGCCGCAAGATTTGGGCGGGGCCCTTGCAACCCTTCAGGATGGTACTAAGCAAAAGAAGCCTTTCCTCTGTCTGTGTGATTCCAAATTTCTCTTTGCTGCACTGAATCCAGACACATTTATTATTTTTTTAAAGAGATTTTTTTTAAAAAAATTTATTTTTGTAGAGAGGGGAAGGAAAGGAGAGAGGGAGAGAAACATCAATGTGTGGTTATGTCTCACACATCCCCTACTGGGGACCTGGCCCACAACCCAGGCATGTGCCCTGACTGGGAATCGAACCAGCAACCCTTTGGTTTGCAGGCCTGCGCTCAATCCACTGAGCTACACCAGCCAGGGCAAGACACATTTATTAACAGTGACTGCAATGCATAATGGAAAGAGTTGTCCATCAAGAGGACATAGAGACTGCCTTGCTGTTAATTGCTGATGTATGAAGAGGGCAGCCTGGGGCAGTTCTACATAGGAAGTGTGTGATAACTGTTAGCAATCAGACCTACAGCTTAGGTGAATGTGATCGGGTGGTCAGTATTAACCAAGGAAATTAATTGAGTAAGCATTTGAGAAGGTGTTTTGGAATACAATTCAGAATCCATGACTTCTATTCTTGGAGTTTTCCCAGGTCATTTATTGCACCTTGTGTTGGAGAAGAGGTTGGTTTATGAGGCAGGAGGGTGAACATCTCTTTAGCTGAAGACCCACAGTAGTGGGCAGCTAGTTTTTCCCTTCTTGGACTCACCCACCAATGAGCAGCAATGCTAGGCTGGCACTCTAGACCTTGAACTAGCTGCATTATCACACATAGACAGAAAACACATAAGTATGCTGTAAAATATATTATACAAAATATGTAACTCGTGGAATTGCTGTGACTACGTGAAGAAGTGAAAACAGAGTTTTATGAACTCTAGAATAGTGGTTCTCAATCAGGGACACTGCTGTTGCTGTCCCCTGTCCCTGCCCCAGGGAACATTTGCTAGTGTCTATAGACAATGTTGGTTGTGACAACTGGGGAAGCGAGGCGTTACTGGTATCTAGTGGACAGAGGCCAGGGATACAGCTAAACACCCTACAATACTTAGGACATCCTCCCCTGTCCCTCACACCGCATCCAACCAAAGAGCTGTCCGTCTGTAATATCAGGAGAGTCAAGGTTGAGAAATTCTGCCCTGTAGCATTGTGTAGATATTGCAGTTAAGTAATTGTGTGACCTCGAAGGGCACACCATACCTCAGTTTCCTGATAGGGAAGATCAGGAAACTACTTGTCACAGATGATAGGAGACTATGTCTGTCAGATTAGAGAGTAATGCACATGGCAAAAGTCCAAAGGAAAAAAAAATCAAAAGGACTGGATAAATGTGACATAAAGTCCCGCTGGGTGGAAAGTTCATTGGTAGATCATTGGTTGGAAATCGACGAATAGGCAAGAAGCGGATGAAAAATACACAATTCTAGGAGTTTATCCCGAGGAAAAAGAGAAGACATGAGCAAGGGGATTCACTGGAGCATTGTTTTCAAGGTGAAATGTTGGGAACAAGCCGCGGAACGTTGTGCCGGTTCCTGACCGGCAGTGGCTCACCAGCCGGCTGAGCCAGTTCTTAGGACACCAGCCAACACCTGCGCATTCATTGTCCTGGCGGGACAGCCGGGGCTTCCCCTACCCCGTTTTTTGTGGTATGAAAAAGGCTCCTTACCAATCCGATCACATCAGTTGCTTTCCAAGGTAAGCCAAGGTCAAACAGCTGAAGCATTTTTTTCCGTCTAGTCCCTTGTTTCTCCCCTTCCTTTCTCCACACCTTCCCCCTGTTCCCTGGTCTCAGCCTGTTTCCGGCCACTCCGTGACCAGGGACACGAGAGCCTGTAAACACAAGGGGAGACAGGCAGTGCCCTAGAATTAGGACGTCCGCGGTTCTGCAGGCCTGCCCCTCCTCACTCTCACTTTACTTCTGAATATTTCTCATACCACAAGTCTAAGCTAGTATTTTGGCAGGAAACAGGGACCCAGCTAGACAAGAGAACAATCAGCTGTTTGTTGTAGAGTTCGCATGCAAAATTATTTAAACCCTTTGCCATTGATGTTCTATTCAATTAATCAAATATTTATTTTTGTGTACAATGGGCTGTGGCAGGCTGGGTGAGCCAGAGGGGATGAAAACAGTCCCTGTCCCAAGGGGCTTAGGACCCTTTTTGGAGCTGGGTGGTTGTCCAACAAATCATGGGGTAATCAACCGAAACTCCAGTGCTTTGAGAAAGCAGAGAAGGGAGGACTGACTTATAACCGGGATCAATGACAAAGACTTGTAATAGGAGGCGGAGATAGATCTGTCTGCATGTAAATATATAAATATGAATTTCAATTAAGTCACTATTGAAAGATAAACTCACAAAGGCATTACATGATGCAGTTCAGAGCTTTGGATTTAATATCAGACAGACTCAGGTTTTAATTCCACTTCCAACACTTACCAGTTATGTGACTTTGGAAGTCGTTACGTTATTTTATTATTATTACTATTTTATGGTAATAGCTCTCCAGTCCCCATCTAAAAGCTACTACATTTTAGGAGCAGATAGCAGCCAGAAAAAGGAGACCAAGTATAACATAGACTGACAGCTGCAAACAATCTAATGAAAAAGCAAAATGCTCTGTTTGCATATTTTATACTATGGGGCGTTGTTTATGAAAGTGACAAATTGGGAATGAGAGAGTGGAGTATTTTCATCTGTACAATTACTCCTTATGTAAAATGAGGGAAATAATCGCACAAAACCAAAGAGTTGGTGTGAGAATTAAATGAGTTAACCACAAGTGAAGCCCTTGGAGCAGTGCCTGGGATATAGTGAACTATAATTATGATTAATGCCATGTAATTATATGTGCATAGAAAAATGTCAGGAAAACTCCATAGAGGCTATATGCTTGGGAGTGAAATAAGAAGACAAGGAATGGGGGATTTACACTTGTTACTTTATACTGTTCTCTTTTTTATTTTTTAAATATTGAATAAACAAAATCTTGAAAACTATGCTAGGAGACCCATCATAATTTGTTTTATATGTTGTGAACAAGTAGAAAAATTCAAGCTGCATGAGCCTTGAATTCCAAAGCTGTGAACTTTGATTCTGACCTCTACTAATTAGGTTATTTTGGTCAATATTAAGCTCCCTAAGCCTTGGTTTTCTTATCTATAAAATAGGCATACTAGCATCTATCTAGCAGGATTAAATGCTATTACATAATGGAAAGGTCAAGCATGTGCCTTACACAAAGAACATTCTCTGTACACACACACACACACACACACACACACACACACACACACACACAGAGTCTACTTTTATGTTGTCAGGGCCCAGGGCGGGATGCCCCAAGATATCCCACAATGGCGTATTGATTATTTCAAACTGAAGTGATTTGAGAAGCAGCAAGAACAGGAGAAGCTCTCTGACTCTCTTGTGTCTCTCTAAATGCCTGATGGGTGCCCTCTCTGCTCCCACGGGCTGAGAGACAACCTGATCACAACAGTTAAGAAATCCAGCCCTGGCTGTTGTGGCTCAGTGGACTGAGCACTGGCCTGAGAACCAGAGGGTTACCTGTTTGATTCTCAGTCAGGGCACATGCCTGAGTTGTAGGCCAGGTCTCCAATAGAGACCAGGGCATCCAGCCCTGGCGCGCAAGATGCAACCACACATTGATGTTTCTCTCCCTCTCCATCTCCCTCCTTTCCCCTCTGAATGAAAATAAATAGATAAAATATTTTTTAAAAACCTTAAGAAAAAATCCAGAGTGCAAATTCATTAATAAAAGCTCTTTGAAGTGCAGCTGAGCTTTTAACATAGGTGTCCTGGCTTTACAGCTGGGGCTTATCCCATTTTACTGATAATGATTTTTAAAAATGTAGAAGAATGAGCTAAACTAATGCCAATGTTGGTATAATAATGCATTCTTAAAAGAATAACTTATTATTTACTAATCATTTTTCTTTCATAATGTGTGCATTATTACCAATTCTGGTTATTTTAGGGTTCTGGGTACTTGCAAACTTATTAGATCCTAGTTGAGCAATCTTCTTCCCCTTTTTAAAATATGCTGACCTTTAGAAAACAAAAGACTTGGAGAGTCTATCTTCATAACCAAAAAAGATGAGTTTTTATGCATAATACTATTTATATACAAATTAATATATAAAACTTTTATTGTACTAAAAAAATCCAAAGTCAGAGTCAGAAAACTCTGTATAAACACACCCTGTAGTCTTTACTAATTTACTACCTAAGCTTAAACCTTGCTGAGATTCCTTTCTTTTTTTTATTTTATTTTAATCATTGTTCAAGTACAGTCTTCTCTCAGATTCCTTTTTAATGGACGCTAACTTTGTCCTATCAACTTCTCACAAATTTATTCTCTTCATCTGAAAAAGTATAAAAAGGTGCCTAGCCTGATCATTTCTTTGAGCTTCATTTTATGATCTCTGCATCATATTGTGATTTTCCCATGCACATGTGTTAAATCTAGTCTTAAATTTCTCCTGTTAATCTAGTCTTGTGTCATCGTTATTATTTTATTATTCACCCAGCTGTAAGAACTGCAGAAGGAGAGGAGTAATTCTCCCCTTTCCTGACAATAACATCCCCAAATTCCTGCCACACATCTGAGTTTCATTGGCTTCTCTTCTTTCATCACCAGGGTAAATTCAAGCTGACGTCAATGGAGAATACCACCGAGGTGACAGAGTTCATTCTCTTGGGATTAACAGATGACCCCAGTCTTCAGGTTCCCCTCCTCCTGGTATTTTTGTTCATCTACCTCATCACTCTGATCGGGAATGGGGGGATGATGGGGATCATCCATGCAGACTCCCACCTCCACACTCCAATGTACTTCTTCCTTAGTAACCTGTCCTTTGTGGACCTGGGGTACTCATCAGCCGTAGCCCCTAAGACGGTGGCTGCACTGCAGTCAGGGAACAAAGTCATCTCCTACAATGGCTGTGCTGCTCAGTTATTTTTCTTTGTGGGTTTTGCCACTGTCGAGTGCTACCTCCTGGCCTCCATGGCTTACGACCGCCATGCAGCGATCTGCAGGCCTCTTCATTATACCAGCACCATGACGACAGGTGTGTGCACCCTCCTGACGATTGGCTCCTACATCTGTGGCTTTCTGAACGCGTCCATCCACTCCGCAGATACCTTTAGACTTTCCTTCTGTGGTTCTAATGAGATTGATCATTTTTTCTGTGACATCCCCCCACTCCTGGCTCTCTCATGCTCCAATGCACACATCAGCAAGTTGGTTGTCTTCTGTGTTGTTGGCTTCAATGTCTTTTTCACCCTCCTGGTCATCCTCATCTCTTACCTCTTCATATACATCACCATTCAAAGGATGCGTTCTGCTGAAGGACGGAAGAAAGCCTTTTCCACCTGTGCGTCCCATCTCACAGCAGTGTCCATCTTCTATGGCTCGATCATCTTCATGTACTTACAGCCTGGCTCCAACAAGTCTATGGACAAAATAGCATCTGTGTTCTACACTGTGGTGATTCCCATGCTGAACCCCTTGATCTACAGCCTTAGGAACAAAGAAGTGAAAAATGCTGTCTGGAAAATACTCAACAAACTTTATTCCCAGTCTTCGGGTATGAGAAGGAAGTAGGTGGGTAACTGCGAGGTAAACCTCTCAGGCCTAGATGACTTCACAACTTTTGAGGTTTGGCATATTTCGCTTTCTTCTTCTTCAAAAATAGTGGTTACTTCTGCTATTAAGAAAAGTTGTAAAAGCAGCACTTTGAAATGTCTCACTCCAGAAAATAATCTTATTTTTGGTGAACAACAGCATAGGATGTTTGCATTGGTCTTGCATTTGTTTCTTGACATGGTTTAAGGCAAAAAACGAAAACATAAAAAGAATGCACTGAATTTCCCCTCCTTATTTTTCATGGGAAGAAATGTCCACTCATTAAAATTTGATATCAGGATGACATTTTCCTCATATACTATTTATCAACTAGAATGAACAATGTGATGCTTTTTGTTTCTTTGGCTCATGGGTTTGAAAGTAAAGTTTCTAATGCTGACAAATATTTCAAGATTCTTTTTTTAAAAAAGATTTTATTTATTTATTTTCAGAGAAAGGGAGGGAGAAAGGGAGGGAGAGAAATATCATTGTGTGGTTGCCTTTCACGTGCCACAAGCTGGGGACTGCCTGGCAACCCAGGCATGTGCCCTGACTGGGAATTGAACCATCGACCCCTTGGTTTGCAGGCCGGAACTCAATCCACTAAGCCACACCAGCCAGGGCTCAATGTTCTTAATAATGTCTTACCTAACGTTGTAATTTAAAAAACAGCACTAGACTGAGCCAGGTGACGCAGTATTAAATCCTTCCAACCTTCAGCCTTGACAGGGGTGGTTCAGTGGCTTGGGCATTGTCCCACAAAGCAAAAGGTCCTGGTCAGATTCCTGATCATGGCACATGTCTGTGTTGTGAGTTTTGTCCTTGATTGGGGCATGTATGATCAATGTTTCTCTCCCTCTCTTGCTCCCTCCCTTCCCCTATCTCTAAAAATAAATTAAAAAAAATCTTTAAATCCTTCCAAGCCCCCACCTTCTGTGCCCACCCGCATGCCACTCACTCCCCAGTTGTGCCTCATTGTATTCTCCATCTCCTTCCATTAAAGTATTGGGACAAACTCATTAGAATACAAATAATTGGGAGTAAAAAAAAAAGTAAAAGGGAGAAAACTGTACTTGAACAATGATTAAAATAAAAAAAAGCAAACAAACCACCTAGTATATGTAACAGTTTTAACAGATAAATTGTTTAAACTTTAACCCGAATAAACATACCTTTTTTTAAAGAGCCTGTACTCTGTTCTATGCTTTTAGCTTTTTTCTAGCATAACTATAATACTTTCAGAAGGTTTAGAGAAAAAAAACATGTTTCCTCAAGGACTATAAAAGAGGATATTTGTCTTCTGAATTAAATGCTTGCATTTCTCAGCACCCTTAAGTTTGGTGAATCTAGTGTGAATCCACATAATAGCTCTCTGTGCCCTCTTTGCTTCTGTTTTTTTCAATAATTCAATTCACCTCTGGGTCCCTGTTGCCTTTTGATGTCCTGTAATTATATGCTCCAAGATTAAAAAAGCTGTGGAAATTGACTTCTTAAGATAGGAATGGCTCAGTGACGCACAGCACAAGTCCATCAGGTCTTGTTTCATGTGCTAGAGGGTGAGAGTGAATGTGTGTACGTGGGAAGGGAGTGGAGATTAATTTTACTTCTCACATATCAACTGCCTACTGGTGTTCACAGTTACAATTAGTCTAAGTCACCCCATATTTCATGATTTCAAGATCATGCACAAAAAATGAATATTTATTTTAAATGTGAAAACTAGAGGTTCTGGTGGGCTAAATCAAGGAAATTAGATGTGAGATGATCAAATTCCATTATGTATTTATTTCCAATAGCCAAGAGCTGGAAACAGCCTAAGGGCCCATCAGTAAATAAGTGGATCAAAAAAATGTGGAAAACAATGGCATACTACACAGCAGAAAGAAAGAAGAAACTCTTACCCTTCTAAACAGCATGGATGGAACTGGAGAGCATTATGCTAAGTGAGATAAGCTAGGTGGTGAAAGACAAACACCATATGATCTCACCCATAAGTGGAACCTAATCAACAAAACAAATGCACAAAAAGAACCAGAGACTTGGAAATAAAGAACAAGCTGACAATGACCTGAGGGAAGAGAAGAGGGGGATAACAGGGAAATAAGGGAAAGGGGCAAGAAAAGAACATGAATAGAGGACTCATGGACATGGACAATAGGGGGGATTGACTGTGGGAGTGAGGGGGGTGGGGTAAGAGGGCTGAGCAATAGGGAAAAAGGCAGGACAACTGTAAATGAACAACAATAAATACAAAAAATAAAAATAAATTTAAAAAATTCCACTATGCACAGGGCAGCCTCTGTCTGAGAAGGGTTGATCATGAGTCTTGTGGAGAGAGGAGTAAAAAAGAATTTTGGAACATGAGGTTGGCCTATAGGAGAAGCTTTCTTTGCCATGTGGCCACTATCTCCTAAGAGATCAGCATGTTCTTCTGGACCCCAGGTGGTGACCACCTAGACCTACCTCATCAATTTTCCTGCCTCCCCCTTTAGCAATGGGGCCTATCCAGCAACTCACATAGAAGAACAGCCTTTGAAGACCAGGATCCACGTCAGGTAGGAGTCCTTCTCAGTGACTTATAGAAATTACAATGCTCAAGACTGCCCCAATTTGGAGATTTGGGAAGCAGCTATCCAAGCATTGAGTGTATTTGAGTTTTAGCTCAATTTCTTTTACTATTTGGTTGATATAACTGACTCCCCCACTTCCTGCTCCTTCTTTTCTACTTCCTTTATTCCTTCTCCTCCTCTTCTCCTTCTCTCATCCTCAATCGCTTTCTATCTTCAGCCAAGATTAAGAACTTACCTCACCACTAAGCCATTGGGTCCCTATAAGAAATTAAAGTCTTTAGTTTGCATATTATAATTGTGACATTACATAGTAAAGTGTTTTCCCGGGCATGTTTCTTTTATTTCCCGGGCATGCCCCTTTTATTTCAGACAGAAAAGTATGTAGGTCTTCTAAGAGTTAAAGGCCTAATGCCCACATATTTCTATTTTCTTTTTTAAATTTTTTTATTGTATTTTTTCCATTACCATTTAGTCCCCTTATACCCTCCTCCCCACACCACAATCACAACACTGTTGTCCATGTCTATGAATCCTTTGTCCTTTTGGCTCAATCCCTCCCACATATTTCTATTTTCTGATGAAGTCATCACACACTCATGTTACAGTTGACTGCAAAGGGGTATAAAAGAGAGTACTGGCTCTAGTATCAGAGATGGATGAAAATCCTTACTCTTCATATCAGTGTGTAACCTCAAAAACTCATTTAATCTCTCTGAACTCAACATGCAGGACACCATGAAGATACATGAAAAAAAGTATGTGAACAAGTTCATCATAATGAATACGTATCTGATACAGTTGAGATTCCTGGCATAGCTCTCACTTACCTGTCCTTGTCCTTATCACTTTCAGCCCCAGAGGACCCTCACTCTCTGCACCACCTCCAAGTTCAAGCCTTTATTTCCAACCATTGTTTAACTTCCTTTCCTCCAGCCTCCCAGGTCTACAGCAGACACATTTCAAGCTGACATTACACAAGGATCCATTTACAGAAGCTACTCAAAAGGAGACGTCTTATCTCCAGCAAGACATCAATTTACAGAATACACAGTACTGTGGGGAGCTTTTTCGCTTTCACATGGGAAATCTGTCAAATGGAGATGAAATGCCCATTTGGCTATTGACAATACCCACCCTCTCCCTGTAGAAACGGTCTGATAAATGAGAGACACTGTAAGTAAGGCTTGTAGCTCAAAGTAATTCAGTAGAAGTATAGGAAGACCTCCTTCCTGAAATGTCCAAAATAGAAAATTAAAACACATAAGTCAGGACAATTATTTATATTAGGATAGATATCCTATTAAAAAAGTGTCAATAATTAAATTATTCTAAATAGGAGGCTCCCTTTGTGGATTAGATGACTTATTTAGCTTTATGTATAGGAAAAGGGAAATTAACATATTAGTAATTCTTGACAATTGAAGCTGGCATTACAGAATCATAACTCTAGCCCTCAGAGAGCCTTTAAAAATAATCTAAACCAACCTTTGTGTTTTATAATAGAAGACCTGATTCCCACAGTTTAACTTCCTTAAATGCACAGACAACCAAATATTGCTTGACTCTTAATCATCCTGTGACTTCTAGAAATTTCTTGATGTGTGAAAAGACATTTTTGAATTTTTACTTTCATTTGTTCACCCTGACACAGATTTCTGTGCTTTAATTTTGCAGCTGAGAAAGCCAAAGTTTTGAGAAGTTAACTTGCTTGCCTACTGTTAACAAGAGGAGCCCACATTTGAACCTAAGCCTTGCCTTCTCTGCCCAATTCTCTGAAAAAAGAAAAGTAGCCTTTTATTACAGTATATTTCAATAGAGGACTTATTTGATGTATAAATCATTTGCAGACACTCTTTTATGATAAATTCCTGCTGTGTGAAAAAGCGGTCTGGAGAATACAAATAAAAGGCTATATAAGATATAATTCTTACTCCAACAAAGTAAATCCTCCTGCATGTATGGTGTCTGATGTAATGCACTTGGAGATTAATGACTCAGTGTTCAACAACGTTGTCGGCAGGAATTTTCCCTATACTCTATGGGCACATTTGTTTTAGCCTTGGTAGTTGGCATTGGCTTTTTAAATGTTGGAGCCCACAGACCTAGCCAAGTTCCACCCAGTGTTTACTGGGCACGAGCTGCAGGAAAGGCAGGTGTGAGATCTATGAAGGAACCGGGCGATAGGTGACCGATCTTGTTCTTGCTTCAAGAGCAGCATGTAGGCAGTGTAGCAACAGGGCACATACATCTAGAGAGATGACGATTCAAGGCATTTGTGGTCATTGTCTAGTGAGTAAAATAGAAAATAATAATTAGAGCTCTTCATAGATGAGAAAGAATTCTGTGGGTAGGGGAAGCTCCCTGGTGGAATTTGAGCCGGATTTTAAAGGAATAATGTAGAAAGAGCCCAGAATTCCAAGGTAGGAGACTTAGCTTCTAGTCAAAACTCTTACTGCCATTTGTAAGGCTGGAATAAGTCATTTATCTTGGAGCCAATTTCCTCATCATCAAAGTGGAGATAATAGCACCAGCCACTCCTTCCTCAAGGGTCTTATCAGGGTCAAATGAGGTAATGGATGGGAAAGCATTTTAAAAACTGTTAATCTTCTTTCTAAATAGTACTGCCACTGGTAATTATACGCAGAGCCTAGTGGGGAGCTCCTGACCAATAAGGGCCCAGCTGAACTCAGGCTTATGCGTGGGTTGCACATCACAGCAGTTTCTGTTGGCAGGAGCTTGGAAGAAAAGTAAACCACTCCGATTAGAAGTGAACCACCAACTCCTCAATCCATTACTTCTACAGAGAAATGATACTTTTATAGAGAAACCTCGGTAGGATCCCACAGCTCAGCTATTAGATTCAAGCCCAAGAAT